GTTGAATAAACAAATTATGATACATGGAAGAGTAGTTAGGTGATCTTGGACTTCCAATCTTGGAATGGCCCTGGTTGCCTATTCGAGTCAACAGTATATACCTCTGTCAGGAGTTGGAGAAATTTCTCCTTCATATTAATTACTATAGGGGGATAACACGTTGCACAACCACAGTTCGGATCACAAGTGCCAAAAATGGAAAATGGTCCAACTCTTGATCAAAGAGCTGGCGCTGGTGAGATAGACAGAGAAAGCCTTGAACCCAAAGAGTCCGATGACGAGGATCTAGGTGTCAAGATTGGTGGCTGCTCTTGTCAACAAAGACAGCCACCGAAAGGTAAGGGATCAAGTGTCAAAAAGAAAAAAAAAGGGAAGAAAGAAAAAATGGTCCTCTCTCCATAATGGATATCCTCAATCAGTGTATTCAATCCTTGTGAGTGTTCTTGAGAAGAGAGGCAAAATCAGAGAGTGATTTTGTGAGGAAAAATTCTAGAGATATTTTTCTTGTGAGTTGTGTGTAAAAACATTTGTAAATTTTCTTCCCTTAGTGAAAGATCTGCAGTAACCCGTGGACGTAGATAATTTTGTGCCGAACCGTGTTAAATTTATGTGTGTTGTTATTTCGCTTTATTTTTTCGCTTTCCTGCTATTCTGGTGATAAGAAAATCTTGTGCTGTACAACTTTTTCCTAACAACTGATATCTGAGCTTTGATTGTGACGTTTGTCAACTTTCTGCAAGATTACTATTCATGTGAATAGTGAATTTTATGAATAGTAAATTTTATCGGCGATACTGGTTGGTCGACAATAGTGTTCTAATACACGGTGGTTCACAGAAACAGTCAGAAATGATCAAGAGGATTCCAGATTCGAGTAGGAGCGATGGTTGCAGACGAAGAAAATGTAAAAATTGAGAAGTTCGACAGTGCGGACTTCGGCTTTTGGAAGATACAGATCGAAGATTATTTGTACTAAAAGAATCTGTATCAACCTCTCTTATGAAATAAGGCAGATGACATGAAGGATGAAGAGTGGGCTCTTCTCGACAGACAAGCCCTTGGAGTTATCCGATTGACGTTATCCCGTAACGTTACTTTCAACATAGCAAAGGAAAAGATCACGGTAGATCTGATGACGGTTTTCTACAGCATGTATGAGAAGCCCTCTGTCTCAAACAAAGTTCACTTATTGAGGTGACTGTTCAATTTGCCGATGATAGAAGGCGCATCGGTAGCTCAACATCTCAAAGAACTCAATACAGCCACAACCTAGTTGGGTTCAGTTGGAATTAAGTTTTATGAAGAAGTACGAGCATTGATACTTTTGTCTTCTCTACCAGGAAGTTGGAATGCTACTTTCATGGCTGTGAGTAGCTCGTCGGGAAACAATAAGTTAAAATTTGATGATGTTCGTGATCTGGTTCTTAGTGAAGAAATTCGACGGAGAGAATCGGGTGAAGCATCAACCTCCTTAGCCTTACACACGGAGTCTAGGGGAAGAACTTTAGAAAGAAATTTAAATCATGGCAGATCAAAATCTAGATGGAGCAAATCTAGATCGGGAAAGAAATATTTCAACTGCTATAATTATGGCAAGAAGGGTCATTTCAAGAGGGAGCACAGGACACCGAAGAAAAATACCGGCGCATAGGAGTTTACCAACGTGACCGAAGAAAGAGGTGATGCTATGATTTAAAGCGTCAATAGTCCGATTAAATCATGGATTCTTGATTCAGGGGCATCCTTTCATGCCATCCCATGTTAAGAAATCATGGAGAACTACGTCAGCGGTGATTTCAAAAAGGTACATGTAGCAGATGATGAAACCTTGAATATCATTAGCAAGGGAGACATACGATTAAAATTGTCAAATCAGACCACGTGGATGCTGCAAGGAGTGAGACATTCTTGACCTTAAAAGGAATTTGATCTCTATAGGACAGCTTGATGGAGAGGGTTACTATATAATCTTCTCAGGTCATGAATGGAATATTACCAAAGGAGCACTCGTCATTGCTCGAGGTAAGAAAACTGATACTTTCTATGTAACCTCTAACTTAGATAATATTATTACAGAAACAGATACAGATAAAAAATTAAACCTATGTTACCAAAAGCTTGGCCATATGAGTGAGAAATGGATAAAGACACTTCTGTCAAAAGAGAAGCTGTCGGATCTGAAGAATGTAGATGTCGGCCTATGCGATGATTGTATCTTTGACAAACAGAAAAAATTAGTTTTGCAAAGATTGGCAAGACACCCAAGGCAGAAAAATTAGAGTTGGTTCATACTGACGTATGGGGCCATCTCTAATTCCATCTCTTACAGACTCACTGTACTATGTCACCTTCATTGATGATTCTATAAGGAAGGTGTGGGTCTATTTTTTGAAAAAAAATCAGAAGTCTTTGATACCTTCAAAAAATGGAAGGCCATAGTAGAAAATAAAATTGGTTTGAAGATAAAACGGTTAAGGTCAGACAATGAAGAAGATTACAAAGACAGTAGATTTAAAGAATTTTACACAAACAACGGGATCAAGATGGAGAAAATAGTTCCTATGACACCGCAGCAGAATGGCGTAGTGGAGCGAATGAGCAGAACTTTGAATGAAAGTGCCAAAAGCATGAGGATACATATCGACTTGCCTAAGTTCCTATGGGTTGAAGCTATCAATACTGCAGCCTACCTAATCAACAACGGGTCCTTAGTTCTCTTAGACGGTGGAATACTGAAAGAAGTTTGGAGCAAAAAAGAGGTAAATCTTTCGTATTTAAGAGTTTTTAGTTGTATCTCTTATGTACACATAGATTCTGCTGAAAAAAATAAACTTGATACTAAATCTAATAAATGTGTTTTTATTGGTTATGGTGGTGATGAGTTTGGTTACCGATTTTAGGATTATAAAAATCAAAAGATCATCAGAAGCAGAGATGTCATGTTCAATGAGAATCTGACGTACAAAGACAGATCAACTGCAGAATCAAGTAGCTCCAGTATAAAAATTAAAATAAAGGAATTTGCTAAATTTAAGGAGATTTTTAAAAATGATGTTCATACTAGTCCTGAAGTAGTTCAAGAAGAACCAAGCACGTCAGAAGTGAGACGCTCCTCCAGAATTCCTAAGCCAATCCAGCGTTATTCGCCTTCTTTGCACTACTTGTTGCTGACTGACAGTGGTGAACCGGAGTGTTATGATGAAATAATACAGGTGGAGAATTCAGTCAAGTGGGAGTCTGCTACGTAAGATGAGATGGACTCGCTTATGTCAAATCAGACGTGTGACTTAGCTGAATTACCATCAGATAAGAAAGCTCTTCATAACAAGTGGATTTACAAGATCAAAGAAGAGCATGATGGGAAAAAGCGCTACAAAGCAAGATTGGTTGTCAAAGATTTTTCAGCAAAAAGAAGGTATTGACTACAATAAAATTTTCTCTCCGGTCATGAAACTGACTACAATCAGACTGGTGTTGAAAATTATAGTTGCTGAGAATTTACATCTTGAGCAGTTAAATGTAAAAACAGTTTTTTTTTATGGTGACCTGGAGGAGGATATCTACATGAAACAATCAGAAGGTTTCATAAAGACAGGCAAGAAAAATCTAGTATGTCGTTTGAAGAAGAACTTGTATGGATTAAAACAAGCTCTCAGGCAATGGTACAAGAAGTTTGATATCTTTATGGACAGCAACGGTTTCACTATATGCCAAACAAATCATTATTGCTATCTCAAGAGGTTTGATAATAGCTTTATTATTTTATTGTTATACGTTGATGACATGCTCGTTGCAGGTTCAGATTTGCAAAAAATTATAAATTTGAAGTAAAAATTATCAAAGCAGTTCACAATGAAAGATCTTAGCGCTGCAAAGCATATTCTTAGAATGAGGATCAAGAGAGACATAAAGTCTGGTACTTTGATGTTATCACAGTCTGAGTACATCAACAAAGTACTCTCCAGATTCAATATGCAAGATGGTAAATCAGTGAGTACACCTTTAGGTGTTCATTTCAGACTTTCCAAAGAGCTGTCACTGAAGACGGAGAAAGAGCGTGCACACATGGCGAAGGTCTTGTACGCCTCAGCAATTGGAAGTCTGATATATATCATGGTTTGTACAAGATCAGATATTGCTTAAGCAGTGGGAGCTGTTAGCAAGTACATGAATAATCCGGGTAAGGTACACTGGGAAGCAGTCAAATGAATTCTCAGATATCTATGGGGTACCACAGGTAAAGTATTTCGTTTCAAAAGTGGAGATACAATACTAACAGGTTATGTGGATTCTGATTTAGCAGGAAATGTTAATATCAGAAAGGAAACTACAGGGTATGTCTATACTCTAAGAGGAGACTGCAGTGAGTTGGGTTTCTCAACTGCAGAAGATAGTTTCTCTCTCCACAACTGAAGCAGAATATGTCACTGTTACAGAGGCCAGCAAGGAAATTGTTTGACTTCAAAGTTTCTTGGATGAATTAGGCAAGAAACAAGAAGACAATGTCTTATATTACGATAGTCAAAGTGCTATTCATCTAGCGAAGAATCCGTCTTTTCATTCCAGAACGAAGCACATACATGTGCGGTATCACTTAATCTGATCACTTCTGGAAGATAAAATTTTGAAACTTGAAAAGATAAGTGGAGCTCAAAATCCGACAGACATGCTAACAAAGACGGTGACTGCTGACAAACTAAAGTTGTGTTTAGCTTCAGTTGGCCTGCAATAGTATTAAGACAGGAAAAGAGCTGCTGCATAGATCGAAATGTGAAGACAGATTAAAATCAGTCTTCAAGTAAGAGATTGTTAAGATGGTGGTTGCTCTTGTCAACAAAGACAGCCACTGAAAGGTAAGGGAGCAAGTGTCAAAAAGAAAAAAAAGAGAAGAAAGAAAAAATGGCAGGGAGCAAGAGTCAAAAAGGGAAGGAAGAAAAAAGGAGGGGGGTATACGCAGGCTATAAAAACCTCCCTGCTCTCTCCATAATGGATATCCTTAATCAGTGTATTCAATCCGTCTGAGTGTTGTTGAGAAGAGAGGCAAAATCAGAGAGTGATTTTGTGAGGAAAATTTCTAGAGATATTTTTCTTGTGAGTTGTGTGTAAAAACACTTATAAATTTTCTCCCATTAGTGAAAGATCTGCAGCAGCCCGTGGACGTAGGCAATTTTGTGTCAAACCACGTTAAATTTGTGTGTGTTATTATTCCGCTTTATTCTTTCGCTTTCCTGCTAATCTGGTGATAAGGAAATCTTGTGTTGTACAAGTTTTTCCCAACACTAGGGACATCTAAAAAGAAAACCCCGTGTGAAGAGATCAAAAAGTGAAGGAAAGGAATCAAGAGCATCACAGAGAACCATTCGAGAGAGGAGCTAATGTAGTCAGATATAATGACGAGAGGCTTTCCTGAAAGGGATGTTGAGGAGTAGCTCAATGGAGAGGTTGGAGGAGGGGACTAGAGGCTGAGGGATTTAAGGAGCTTAATGGGAGACTGAACGATTTGGAGAAGGGACAAGTAAGAGTGTTACAGACTCAGAAGAGGAGACTAAGGAGACAAAAAGGTTTATATATCGTTATTTAAGCATTCGATTACACCTAGAGAACCTCAGGGCAGGAAAGAACATTAGTATGGTTGATAGGAAATTGTGATTGTTAAGTAAGATTAACAGGACAAAAGTTATAGAGTTGACAAATGCAAGCCTTAATACTTGGAGTGAGGACATTGTTAATCAATCCCTTAGACCCCATGAAGTTTCCATTAG